CCCTGGAAAACGCCAGGGCCCGCGTCCGAAGCCTGGAGCTCCCGGCCGCGGGCCCGCCGAACGGCCCCGAGCTGACGGACCGCTCCATCACGGGGCTCGCTTCCGGACGCGACAAGGTCGCCTCGGGCCGCCTGCAGCGCGAAGTCATACGGCGCCCCACCAGGGGTGGACCAACTGGGCCTGCAACGAGTTCCTGAGCCTGGTCCACGAAGAGTCCGTCCCTGACACTTTCTTCCCGCGGGGACGATGGGACGACGACCGCGCCGCCCTCGTGCACCTGGTGAGCTTCCTGACGACGGACGCAGCGAATGGCGGCGGCGATCTCGGCGCGCGCTGGGAGCAGCACATCCGCGCCAACCGCATGAATTTCGGCCCCTCGCCCCTGGCCTACCCGCGACCGGTGCTGGAGGCAGTCGTTGCAGCCGCCGACGTCAGAGCCGCGGGCAAGGGGCTGCTCACCTACTACCAGCCCAAGACCCTGCCTGCGCAGCCTCTCTGCGCCACGCGCGCTCCTGAACAGCACGAGGACCCCGCAGCCGCCCCGCGGACAGCGGCGGAAACGCCACCACCCACGCCGAGTGACAGCGAGCTGGCCTCACACCCACCCAGGGCGCGCCCCAGGGCGACCAAGTCCCCCGGGGCCCCGCCAGCCGCGGTCGCAACCCTTGGGTCCTTCCTGGAGCGCGCGCACCGCGACCGCGACCGACGCCAAGGACGAGTCTCGGACACACCCCTCGGGGCCCCCACCCGCCAGCTCACGACCGACAGCCCAGACATCGAAAACGGCGACTAAGTGGTCATCCGGAACGACATCACCGACGCCCGGGCAAGGTGGTTTGCAGCAGTGCAAAGCACCGATCCCCTGTTCCCGCAGCCCATGGACGGAGCGGTATTCGGCCCGATCCGCGACGCCCAGTTCCGCACGGAGGGCGCGCACCGCTTCCTGGTCGTCCAAATAGGCGACGAATGGCTTGGGATCTGGGGCGCTGGGACCGAGACGCTACGCGCCGACATCCTTCGCGGCAGCGCGGCGGGCCGCGCGGCCGACTTCCTGGAGGGGCCCCAGACACGGCGCAAGCACCGCAGGCGGCAGCGGTCCCTGCCAGCTCCTGGCTCGGCGCCGACCCTGAAACAGTCGAAGCGGCGCCCGCGGAAGGGGCTCAGGCCCCACTCCCGCGCTCCACGGGCGGTCGCACGGGACCCCGCGCACGAGCCACCGCCGGGCGACCACGCCAAGAGGCGATCCCTGACTACAGCTCCGAAGAGCAGGAGGAGGAACAGGCTCAGAGGCTGGCAGAGGCTGCAGGCGCAGTCCACTCAGTCTCACCCCCCCCCCACAGACCCTGGAGCCCATCGGCAGGTCCACATCGGCACGAGCCCCCGAGAGGTTCGGCGCACCCTGAACGCGGCATCGGCACGCAGCGCCAGGCCCGCCAGGCCGACGGGACTACGGCACAGGCCACACCAGTGGTGGCCGACGCTGACACCCGCGCCCCGCGCACACCCCACCGGACTGTGACCACTGGGGCCAGGCGCACCGCACCCGACCCCCGTCCTCGGCTCGAGTACGGTCGCGGGCGCGGCAGGGGAGGTGAGCCGGGTCTCTGGGACCGGTACGAGAGCACGGCAGGACGGCGCCCGCCCAGGGACACCAGCGACAGGGAGCGCGCTAGAGAGCGCGACCGCGACCGAGACCGCGATCGCGACAGGAGCGGAGGCTGGGGCTCCTTGCGCCGATACGACGATCGCCGCCACCCTGAACAAAACAAAGATGAGCGCCGTCGCCCTGACCACA